TTCTTTCAAATCAAAACAGAAAATAATTTGAACCCAAAAAATTATATCAAAATCTATAAAAGACGTACTTAAGTAGTAAGTAAAAAAACTATGAAAAACTTAAAATAGGTATCAATTAGAACTAAAAAACATAAGTTTGTATCAAATCAAAACATATTTTTTTTTTTAAAACGTTACCCCTACACTAAGATTTTCTCTTGTATCGTGGGGGCAGTTTACAAACATAAATTGCACAAGGACAAACATCCAGACCCGGAACAACTATATGTAGGCCATACAAATACTTGTTCCGTGCGGGATTCGAACCCGCGACCCCCAGCGCAGCTACTCATTGCTAAGCCACTGCGCCACGGAGTCGTCTAATTAAAACAGTACTATAATCCTATTCTGTGTTAAAACTCAAAAAATTAAAATTGTTTGCACCTAAGCCATAGGTCAGTACTCAACTAAAAAATGAACACCAAAACAAAGGTACAGCAATCATTATAAAACTTTCAAACGACTCAATTTAACTAAAAATATTTCGTCATAAGGTAAGTAAAACATAACACTTAAACTCAAAACTCAAAAAATAATATGAAACTAATCAGGTACATTGAGTACATCAATCAACAACTTATTCTAATATCAATTTACTTAGAACTAAAAATACTTTCATAACAAAATAAAACATAAATTAAATTCAAAACAATTGAAATGGCTGTACCTAATCAATACTTAAATGTAAACTTGTAAAAAAGACTTAAACATAGGTACCCATTCATTCAAACACAGCGTAAATCCCTTCAAAGTTAGAGTGAACAGGCTCCTTCTGGGTAAGCTCGCTCCATCGTAGACTTTGTCTCTGTCATCTCTGACCAAGACTAGAGTCAAGAGCAAACACATCACAAAAAAAAGTATAATTTAAAATTAAATAACAAATGTATTAAAAAACATGACTCTAAAAATAAACATTACGTTAATTTAACAATGTAAAAACCCTATTGTAAAATCATTTTACTCATGCTGTTAAGGTTTAAAAGTTTAGTTTAGTTTTCAGCAATATGTAGCGCAAGGGGCCAAAATAAGCTTACTCGAAGCATCGACTTCAGATGAATCAGTGGAGCGTGATGGACCCTGGTCTTTGTTTGAACATGGTAAACTTTCGTACCAGCCGTGAACCTCTTTAGGAATTATATTTTTCTTACAGAGCTGTAAAAGGTCTTCCTTTTTTTGTTTTGTTATAGGAAGATATTCTTTATATGCCCGCGGAAGATCTTTAGTATTTATAGTTAGCATTTCAGAGTTTGGAGTTCTCCTAGTCGGTCTCCCTGGTTTACAAAGAGTATTTAGTAAGTTATATGGCCCATCGTAATCGTATCTGTATTTAATCATCATCATTATTATAGCCCTTCACAAGTCCACTGCTGAACATAGGCCTCCCCCAAGTAATGCCACAAAGCACGGTCCTGAGCCACCTGCATCCATCGACTTCCTGCATGTCTTTCTTACCAGGTCGTCACTCCATCTAGTGGGGGGTCGCCCTACACTACGCCTACCGGTACGAGGCTGCCACTCGAGAACCTTTCTTTCCCATCGGTTATCGGTTCTTCGAGCTATATGGCCGGCCCATTGCCACTTCAGCTTACTAATCCGTTGGGCTATGTCGGTCACTCCGGTTTTACTGCGGATATCCTCATTTCTGAGTCTATCACGCAGAGAAACTCCGAGCATAGCCCTCTCCATAGCTCGCTGAGCGACCTTGAGCGTCCTCATACGGCCAGCAGTGAAGGACCACGTCTCAGATCCGTAAGTCATTACTGGCAACACGCACTGGTTATACACTTAAGTTTTCAGAGATTGAGGTATACCTGACGAGAAGATGTGTCGTAATTTCCCGAACGCTGCCCAGCCGAGTTGAATCCGTCGATTGACCTCTCGGTCGAAGTTGGACTTACCTAGTCGGACTATTTGTCGCAGGTAAACGTACTCGTCAACAACTTCGAGCATAGTGCTCCCAACAACTACCGGCATAGGTGTGACATGGACATTAAACATGATCTTTGTTTTTTCCATGTTCATCTTAAGACCTATCCGTTGGGAGACACTATTGAGGTCATTGAGCATAGTGCTAAGGTCCTCCAGCGATTCTGCCATACGGACTATATCGTCGGCAAATCGAAGGTGAGTGATGTACTCGTCATTGATGTTAATACCGTATCCTTTCCAGTCCAGTAGCTTGAAAACGCCTTCCAACGCAGCGGTGAAGAGTTTCGGGGATATAACATCACCCTGTCTTACACCTCTCTGCAGTTGGATAGGTTTCGAACTCCGGTTCTGACTCGGATAGCCATCGTAGCCCTACTGTACAAACATTTCAGCACTTCGATATACCGACAGTCAACTTGGCACCGCTGAAGGGACTGTAGCATCGCCCAAATTTCGACGGAATCAAAGGCTTTCTCGTAGTCCACATATGCCAGGCAAAGTGGCAGATTGTACTCTTCGGTCTTCTGTACAATCTGCCGCAGGGTATGTATGTGGTCTATGGTACTGAAGCCTTTTCGGAAACCGGCTTGTTCGGGAGGCTGGAAGTCGACGAATCTGCGTGCGAGACGATTCGTAATGACTCTCGAAAACAGCACGTAGACGCGGCTAAAAAGGGAAATCGGTCTGTAGTACTTCAAGAGAGCGTTGTCGCCTTTCTTAAAGAACAAAACCACCGCGCTTCTGCTCCACGCCTCCGGAGTAGTGCCACCATGGAGGACGGAATTGAAGAGCTTCTGAAGGACTTCAAGTACCGGTGTTCCACCCGCTTTCAGAAGCTCCGCTGTAATTCCAACCTCGCCCGGGGCCTTGCCGTTTTTAAGGTGATCCATTCCAAGGAGGGAGGATTCCAAGGAGAGCCATTCTAATCTCGCTCAGACTGACGTCCGGGATATCATCGGAATAGTGTCGGATAAGAGTTGCTCTTGGATCGTTACTCACACTTGCCTGTGGCTCCAACGATGATGTGTACAGCTGCCCATAGAACCTCTCAATCTCACTCAGAATCTCAGGTGTCCCGGAAACGATGCTGCCACACTCAGTCTTCAGCTTTGACAGTTGGCTCTTTCTGGCAGACAGATCTCTGGCAAAGACTTTGGAGCCCTGGTTCCGCTCGATCGCTTCTTTAATACGAGCCGTATTAAAGTTGCGTAAGTCTCGCCGCATGCATTTGGAGATCTGTCTGTTCAGTTGCCTGTACGCTGTCAAATCTGTTGACGATTGCAGCCTCATCTCACGTCTAACAGACATGAGATTAAGAGTGTGATCGGAGAGGTTTTGTGTTCTTCTGCGGCGGGTCTTGCAGAACTTAGCTCCGACCGCATGGACAGTTTCCACGAGCTTGTCATTCATATCGTCCACTGCATTGCAATCCTCTAGGCACTGAAAGCGGTTTTGTAACTCGAGCTGAAAGGTTTCGGGATTCTGGATTAGAGCACGAGGGGGACGGAGCGTTGACTTCATTAGACGAGACCTCTCCAACTTAACGTTTAGGTTCAGTGTGCCTCTAACCATTCGGTGATCGCTGCCAGTTTTCACCCTTGCGATCACTGAGACATCACTGAACAGTTGGCGTCTGGTCGTCATAATGAAGTCAATCTCATTTTTTGTCGAGCAGTCTTGGCTCGACCAGGTCCACTTCCTGTGGGGCCGCTGCTGGAAAAAAGAGTTCATCATAAAGAGTCCCACTTTCTCCATAAAGTCGGCCAGCTGCTGGCTCCTTCAGTTCCGTTGCCCTACTCCAAATTTCCCTACCTTCAGCTCACCGCTTTCTCTTGTGCCTAGTTTTGCGTTGAAGTCTCCCATCAACACCGTGTAGTGGGTTTTGGAGGAATGCATGGCTCTGGAAATATCCTCATACATTTCCTCTACCTCCTCATCGGGATGTGCCGAGGTTGGTGCGTAAACCTGTATGACCTTCAGCGAATACCGTTTGGTGATTCTGAGTATCAGGTACGCGACCCTTGACGACACACTCCCAATATTTACAACGTTGTTGACGAGAGACTTGTGGACGATAAATCCGACACCTCCTTGGGACAGATGGTCGCCCTCGCGGTGGTAGAACTGTATTTAATAAAACCAGGTAATTCTTTTTCAAATCTAAGACATTTTATTTTCAACTAGCACACTTTCTCCCCATTCTCCGCTATAGTTTTGTTTTTAATTATTTTCGAAGCAAGTGCTTTTACATCAATCATGTCTTGATATGATAATTCAGTTACATTATATGGAGTTACATTTTTATTTTGTCTTTTTGATCTTGCCCGTAGCATAATTCCCTTCCAATCTATTATAGAATACGTGTTTGTGTACATTTTTTCTTTTTCTATGGTACTATGCATTGAATCTACTTCCATAAAACTATGATTACTTTCTAGATACTTCTGTTCTAATACTTTGATTGTCTCATGCATACATGTACTAAGTACAATAAAAATGCTGCTATGTACTGATTTCGGTTTTGTCCCGAGCACGTGTCGGAATAAATGGTGACGTGCGTTAAAACCTCGGGGAGATTCTTAATCCATAAATGAATAGCAGATGCTATTTCAACACTGCCTCTTTTGCCGTTTATTTCCGTCCAGATCATACAGTGAGCGTCATTCTGTGGACGTTTAAACTCATAAATAGATAAATTATATAAATTTAATTTTCTGGAGTAATACATTAGACTATCTGCAGTCGATGGAATCTGCAGTAGACTTTGCAAGTCCATGGGTGACCATGACACAAATATGATTCATCTTCTCCCGACTTCTTTTTATCCAGCTCTTTAGATCTATAAGATGCCTCTTTTCGCTCTATATGTTGAGTATACTCATTTTGAATATTTATATTAGTTTTATCTTTTTTGTAATTGTTACAAATGCTACATTGATCCTTCTTGGGGTGATAGAACGCTAAATTGTATTCTGTACCAAACACTTTCTATAAATGTTTAATTTTACTGGACTTTTGCTTTCTTTCATTTTCTAATAAAATCTCATGTATTGACAGGTAGGTTGTACTGTTTTTCTAGTAATGGGAATCATTCTTTCAATGTGATCTTTTACCTCTTGTATCTGTTCTCCAGGAGTTTTGTTTGCAGGCGCTTGTCTGCCACGATTATCCATTTTTGTAAATACACCGTGATCATCCACATGTTTTACTGCAGTTTCGATTGGACCAGTAGAAATGCAAAGAGTGGACATAAAATAGTTCTTGCATACTCGTTCAAATACAGTCTTATTTTTATAGAAACCGTATTCTCTGCTAGAACTTCTTTGTTTTTCGATCGGTACAGATATTCTTGTAGTCTGCACTGGCTTAATGATGATGCGCTTAAGCAAAAACTCTTTTTGCAGCTTAAAATCTTGTATAGACCAATAGGATTTGCAAAGTTTCTCACGCTCGTTTTGTGTAAACTTTTCTGTACATTTCTGGCGACAATTTTGGCTGCATTTAGGACTTTTAGGTAGTTTAGCTGCAAGAAACTTTCCAGTTTTACTCTTATATGGCAAACATTTTCGTTTCTTCTCCAACTCTTTATTTCTTTTCCAGTTTGTTTGATTAGTATTTTTCCATCTGTAGATTTCTTTTTCCTTATTTCCTGTTCCTTTTTCTGAATCTGTTGTCTCAGCGATTGTGATATTGTGTTCCATGATCCTTCTATCACGGTTAACTGGTGAGACTTGGTCAATAGGAGTTTCAATAATAGCGCGAGTTGTTATAATATTACCTGTTTCATCTTCAGAGTCACTCGATAAAATGGGGTTTAATCGTTCAAATCTCTTAACTCTTTTTTCTTCTTAGCCACTGAAATATTGATGTTTATTAAAGAACTACTTTTCCTTTTTATTTTATTTTCTTCTTCTGTGTCCGGAATCCATGAAGATCCAGAATCAGAAAAAGGTTCTTCATCTGTCGAAGGTGGCATTGGTTCGATACCCGAAATTGGGACTGACATTTACAGGCATAGGTGCTGATTGGGGTGGGTTAATGTTATTAGTAATCATTTCGCTAGCTATTATTGATGCTGGAGCCGATTCGCATGTAATTATCTTAAATCCGTCACATTCAGGAAGCTTAGGAACATCAGTAACCAACAGCCCATCGGGCATTTTTTCTATCGTAATATCAACAGCAAAATTTATGTCGTTGCAAACATTTTTGTTCATTTCGGATGGTAATTTCTGGCATGTTATAACATTATGTTTTTGTGGGCTGACAATAATGGTACTTTAGTCCTGTTGTTTGATTGTCTTATTTTTGTCCTAAAACAATAAGAAACAATAATATAGTAGGTATTTAATGAGGAAACAAGTAAAATAATAATCATGTGACAGGAGTTTATGCAGTAAAATTTGTCAAGTCAAGTCAAGGCACACGTTTGTTCATCAAGCTTAATAAGCCTCGGAATTCGCCAACTTTGATACGGTTAGATACATTAGGTTACCAACCTAGTGTTGGTTAGGTCACTTAGGTAATAATTTCAGCCATACAACATGAGTTAGGTACTTAAAACGGGACCACTTCTAAGAACTATCTGAGCACCTAGTAAACAAAACAAAAAATCTATTTGTTAACTAAAAATTATTTTTTGCTATAGGTACCTTTTTATGGGGTGGTAAAATCATCAAATGAGTCCTGCCGCCCTGGGCGGGGCGGGAGGGACTGTCAGACTTGTCAGATTTAAACGTAGGTACCCTACGTAGTTTCACTCTTAAAAGAATATTTAACGAAAATACCCAACAAAAACAATTTGTGTGACAAGCTAAAAGTAACCTTAATTCTTCAACTTAAGAGTCAAAATTCCAATTATAGCAGAAGAGTTATCAACTTCTCCCACAACTCAAAATGATTGATATTCAAACTCGCATAAGGGAGGAAAAAATAAATATCAGTACATAGTTATGACATAATTATTAATTAATGTTGTTCAAACATTCTTACGGTTAAGAAAGACGTACTTAATCGTATTATTTCTAATTTCTTAATTTAATTTGCAAAAAAATTGTTTTAAATTATGGTAGGTAGATACCTCAGATGAATCTTCTTCCTTTTGACACATTTTCACCATAAATCTACCTCGCGAATCCATTATTGGTCACTCTGACGTCAACGCAATTGAAGGTCACGTATTAGACTAAAACGCACGACACGCGAGCGATGCATCAAACCGCACCCGCTCACCCCCGCGCTCTCCGTCGTCGTTCCCGTTCAGAATATTTCGCGCCAAATTCTCTTAAAAATTTAATGATGACTTTCCTCAGGTGCATTTTGTTTTATGGCAATTATAAACAACTTAATTTATTTAATTTTATTTGCCTAGTATCTTATAATTAATCATTATCTAGTTGTAGAAGAAATAGATAACATCAAGTATTTATAAATTAAGTATGTTATATCAGAATTCTGAATAGCAGAATTAAATAAATAGAGTTACTTAGTTTGCCTAGAACTTAGTTTTGTGAAAGAATTTTGAAGTTGAGGAAAAATTCAACAACTCATGTTATTTAATTTATTTGACTTGTCATTGACCACAGTTATTGATTTATTTACTGAGTTATTTATTTTTCCTTTAAAACAATAGTGTTTTTCTGAAGATATTTATTATTCCATCTGTCCGACAAAAATGGCTATATTTTTGGAACGGAATAAGATACGAAAACGTAATATTATTAAATAAATAAATTTTAATATATAAAAATATATAAAATTAATAATTATTTAAAAAAATCCAACTACGGGGACGATATGAGACTTTCACAAAATTTTGTTTTATATTTTTTAGTTTTATATTTATGTTTATTGCTAATGTAGACGATAATGCCACCACCATGACGTGTTACCCGCAGGTCCGTTACCATTTGATATCCATTGATATGATACAAACTACTGATGTTTTCTGAGATATTTGCTTCTGTTACTATTATTACATCTAAGCATTTTGAGCAACTAAATATACATTGTTCTAGATAGGAGAAGTTTTTTATGATAGAACGGATATTAATATCCATACATAACATAATAAGTTAGTATTTTGATTTTTAGGTAGATAATTACAAAATTGATTTGCGTTTACACAGTTTGCGAATTCTTTAATTTCGTAGTCGATAGGTACCATACCTTTTTTTCTTTGTAACAAATAGGTTACCAGAGATCAAGACAGAAAGAATATACGAAGAATAATATAAAATAAACACAAAATATATGTAAAAATTAATGTACAAAAATATATTAATTCCTAAATAAAATGGAGGATTTCACAGCTTATTATTAGCTAGTGAATTTATGTCATCCAAGTTTCTTAGGATGAAAACTTTACCTTTGTCTTCTTTGCATGCCTTGATCAATCCCTTTTTGAACCAGACGCATTTGTAGTTTTGCTTAATTTTTAGCTCTTGTTTTGCGTGCCAGAAAACCTTCTTGTTGTGCTGTGTCATTTTTTCCCTTGTATACACGGAATTGCTGTTTTTATTTTCTTTTGGATGAATGTCTGCTACCGTAATCCTAGTACTTTTTGCGGCAGCCATCCATGTATCCAATACACTTTCCTCTTTTAGCTCCACATGTATATTTCCATTCTGATCGTTTTTTCCTTTTAATCGGTATGCTTTTGTAAAGCTTTCCTATATTTAGCTTTTTGGCCACATTGTCAACCAGTTGCTTCACGTCCTCATCCTTGCGTAGTGGTATATTCGCTATTTCAATGCATTTAGACAATTTATTTTGCTCCACTTCTTGTAATTTTTGTTCTAATGCGCCTACTCTCGTTTCCAGATTGTTATTTTTGTTGGTAAGTTCGATGTTCTTTCTTTCCAGATTCTTTATAGTTTGCTTAAACCCCTCAATAGACATCATCACCTCATCCAATTTTGAACTATGAAATTGAAGTGAGTCGTTGACATCTTTTAATTCCTTCTTTATAGTTTTTTCTACTTCTTTTGAAATATCCTTTAATAAAGTCTTTGCATCAATTTGTACGTGCCTATCATTATCATTTTCATCATCCTCTTCTGGAATCACTATTGATGAATTACGTCTGGAGGTCTCTTGCAAACATTCTTGACATGTCCATCCTAATCCGGGTGTGGCAGTTTTAAGTGCTGTAAGCTGTTTGTTTGTCAGTCCCGTACACTTAGCATTTAGACGCACTAGGCGCTCACATTTACCACACTCTACTCCTAGGTAACTTTTGGATATAGTTTTGTTACAGTTATCACACATAGTTGACATAGTGGGTAGTAAGTATAAAAAGCTGACTGTTACAAAAAGCGATAGGTGTGACGCGTACGACGTTACGTTGATGACTGATTAACCTCATTCAGTTTCATCATCATCATCATCATCATTACTGCTTTACAGCCCTTCAAAAATCCGCGCCTCCCCTAAATGGTGCATAGTTCGTTTACGTATAGCATGATAGTCAATTTCTTTAACACAACTGTATATCAAACTTTATTTGTGTTATATTTAGGATTTTAAAAACCCAAAATAAGTTATTTGTCATCTAACCTGCAACAATGGAAGTCACACTAATTTTACTTTAATTTGAAATGTCAGTTATACGTGTAAACTGAAACGTTTATTATTATACATTGCAAAATGTATTTTTACAACTCACTCAAAACCACTCAAAACTCTTTATTTATGTTTTGTAGTAAATGAAGAGTTTTTAGTCGATAGTCTTTAGTATCTACGATTATTTTCCCGATAATCACGAAGTCAAAATGATTTTACGGCACGTCTATTACCTAATTAAACATTTAGAAAAAAAGCACGTTGGTACTTAAGGGTTCGCCACCCCTGAAATAGGGTGACAAGCGAGCACACAGTCCACCTGATGGTAACTGGATGCTGTGATCCATAGACATCTACATTATGTATCCTCAACTAAGAATCAAAGAGCCGTGGTAGCTCAGAAGAGCCGTGGTAGCTCAGATGGTTAGCGCTCGCTGTAAATTTCACAGTACGCGCGCAAACCGGGTTCGATCCCCGCCGGTACCAATGAAATCGTTAGTTGCAATTTTAAGTGCTGATTTACCACGTGCTCGGCGGTGAAGGAAAACATCGTGAGGAAACCTGCATGTCAGAGAAATAAGAAAAAAATATTTCGAAAACATGTGAAGTTCACCAACACGCATTTGGGCAGCGCGGCGGACAATTCCTTGCCCTAAACCCCTCTCAGAAATGAGCGGAGGCCTGTGCCCAGCAGTGGGACGTAAAAAGGCTTTATGAATCAAAATGCGATGCGTTGTCACACGTCAGGACTAAGATGGAATGCCTCGTTGCCAGTAAAAGGGGTCTCCGGTTCTCTGCACTCACCATACGAAACATAGCAGCATTAAGACACTATTTTACGCTAGTATTCTGTGAGATCTTGGTCCTTCGTCGGTCGAGTCGACTCATTCGTGCTGCAACTATAATATAGCTGCAGCATGACTCTACCACGTGCTTAAATATTACGTGTACGTTGTAAGATTTGGCATAAAGTTTATATGGAGAAGGCGTGCAGAAACCTAGAGGTTATATATAACATGTGTTGTTATTAAGAAGACGCTGCAGTCGATCTTCTGGTTTTCTACCCTCAGTTGCCTCTTACGACACCCTCAGGATGATATGGCGAAGTGAATATTAATACAACTCCACTACACGGTTTCATTACACTTGATGAAAGTTGGCTTATTGATAACATAAAACTTTAACACAATGAAATAAACTTTTGTATGTAATAAATATTTTTTGTTGTTTTTAAATAAGGTGGTGTTACCTATCGAAGCGTCTTTGTCCCCACACGACCCTCTCGCGAAGTGGGAGGACCACATGGCCTGCTGGCAGATGAGCTACCGTGGAGCATTAGGAGAGTCTTTACTACACTTGTTAATTATATGCGATACGAAGGTAAAATCTTATAATATCATATCATACTAACATTTTTATTCAATGTATCATCATCATTATCAGCCTATAAAATTCCACAATTGGACATGGGTCCCCCGTTGTTGGGAGAATTTGTCATCATCACGCTTTGCATTTTCAATTGTCGACTCGCTGAGGATCTCAGTTCTAAAAGCGTCCCGTGCCTTTGACGGTGTTGCCAGTCCTCGAGCTGTTCTTTTTTTTTACTATTTTACGTCTGAGTAAAGGATGGTCCACAAACATTTATCAACCTGGAGCCATGAAATTCTTCTAGCATTTCCCATGTTCGTCTTTTACGACGCGCACGGGACCAAATGGCATGACAGACTCTCTTATGCCGCTTAAATGCCGATGTTTTTTTTTTTAATGAAACAAATGTCATCCAAGAGATAAATGGGACAGCAACAGAAACGAGGCCTATAGACACTTCCAAATTAATTCATAACTTCGAAATGTAAAGCGTGTATACGACCCAAGGCTAAAAATTGCACTGTACAAACGTATTCTATCATGTAAGGCCTAGTATCATTACTGAGCAATCCCCACGCTGCTGCTCATGATGTTTTTCCTTTACCCCTCGATCATTAAGATTGATATATCAAAACATTCCAAATACGCTAGGTTATATATACTGTACCATACGTAAAAGCGACATCTGTGAAATACCATAACAATTAAGGCTTGTAGTATAGTCACAGAATAAATAATAGTACTACGTAGTATAGTGCTCTACGAAGATATATTAGAGTTAATATTCCTACAGGCTTATCAGCGTGATCTATTAAGTAACCTCGTACTTAAGTAACCTGAATATCCATATAAAATATATTTTAATGAAATAGTTTTATTTTATTACTATTTAGATATAGTAATATAAGTCACAAAACGATATTTTGCAAGGCAAAGGAATTATATTAGCAGGACTTGACAGTACAAAGGAGTAGCTTCTGCTTATTGTAACTAAGCAAGGAAATTAAAACATTTGCGAATATCCATCCATTCGTCACCTACAGCCTATATTTTTTATAGTATAAGGGTGACAAACGAACACACAGTCCATCTGATGGTAAGTAGATGCTGTGGCGCATAGACATATACATTTTTAACCTCGCTTAAGAATCAAAATGCAGATGCGTTGTCACCCTTGAGGACTAAGATGGAATGCCTCAATTCCAGTAAAACGGGTCTCCGGTTCTCTACACTCACCATACGAAAAACAGCAGCATTAAGCTGCCATTTTACGCTTATATTCTGTGAGAGCGTGGTCCTTCCCCGGTCGAGCCGACCTATTCATGCTACAACCATAATAGCTGCACTGTGGCTCTACCACATTGAAAAAAATCACCAAATAAAAATGACACAGCTGAACACCCCCCCCCCCTATAGATTTCCTCATAGGGGGGATTTTGGCATAGTTGACACGCTTGGTGAGCGGGTTGTCATTCGCATTTTTTATTTTAAGTTGTTACCAAGAAGATGCTGCTCCCCATCACCTGCTTCAATTACCTTCGCCTCTTACGACACCCACGGGATGATAATAGTTTCACCTATTATAGTATAGATTAGCGCTATTTTATTTTGCAGATCCACACGCGTTTAGCCAGAACCTTGGTAAAATGTTTTCCAAAGCTGTCATTAGACGTCGTTGAAGGTGAAGAATATTTAGGTAAATATTATTTAAGAAACCTGTTTTTAAGAGCCCTCTTACATTTCAGCGTTACGCAAATTTAGGTATTTTACGCACCGAGCGGGCGGCGAACTACGCGAGCGATTCTTTCTTACATACTATTCACTCGCTCGCACCGCACTATGATACTGTGAGTATGACGACTAAGCGATCTTGATCTCCCATAATACAAGTTTTCTTAGGATGGAGTTCAGTGAATGGAAAATTTTTTTCGTGTGTCATTTTAACGTGATCTGATTAACTTTTTACAATCTATTTTGATATATTTTTCATTATTTATTAGTAGTATTAGTGTTGAAATAAGTACACATAAATATTTTAATTGTTAAGCAGTAATCGATTGTTGACCGATGTCTGTTAATAATCAATTATATCTAGTACCGGTAGCATAGTGGTATAAATAAATTAATAGTACGTTTGCAAACTGTTTTAATAAATAAAACAACCAAAAAAGTAACCAATATTTTTTTAATCGGTACTTTCAGTAATTACCACATTTTTATTAGAAAAATATTTGCCGCAACGGCATTGACCGAGCTTTTCTTGAGTCGATAATTTCAGGCAGTACACACTTTTCATAAAAAGCTTGTAACTTGGATAACATTTTCGTAAATATATGTATTGAAAACATTTCACTATCCACGCAAGCGTGTATCAAGTTTTGATCTCTCGATCAGAAAAGTGTGTGCGAATATTATACAAAATAATAATCAAATATTATATTATAAAAATATATATTAAAATCAAAGCTGTTTTCGATCGTTAATTGAATTATGTCGATTTTTTCCTTATGTGAAAGGTATGTAAATAAACGTATTCTATGATTTTTAAAGCGGGTAAGTATATAAGATATTTAGGAGATACAAATATTTTTTTGATGGTCGATACTCATTAGAATTTACAAATTAGAGCTCCCAAATCATGTCTTCGAAAGTTTTTGTCTAAACATGCATCGGGAAAATGATTATTACTAAATAACAAACATAAAACATACAATTTCAACGAGGAAACCTTGTAACTTCGCGTTCTTTTTTTGTAATACAAGGAGTATTAAGTCACATGCTGCTGACGTAAACAGAGTATGCTATTGCTAGAGAATCGTAGACAGAGAAACCTATAGACAAATTGACGCCTTCTTTCGCATTCGCACACGAAAAAGATAGATTTATGCATACGTCTTGCATAGAAATGAGATGAGGGGTGTGATTGTTTGTCCCTTTCTCCGTGCCGGTTTGTTTGTTTAGCAAACTCTACAGTTTGCTAAACAACTTTAACAGCGTAGCGATTTAAGGAGTTTACAAGTTGGTTTAAGTGAGAAAAAAATGTTTTGTGAGATTAAGATTGGTGAATCTTGTTCAGTTCAGTTCTTAGAACAATTGAAATTTTCATCTAAATGTGTTTAAAAGTCATAAAGATTATTGTATAACCTAAAAATTCGTTATCGTCCTTTCTCACTCGAGGCCACGCCGAGTCTATAGGTTTCTCTGTGTACGGCTGCTGACTTACTTACACATTTCTTTCTTTCTTTGGTAATGTGTTAATACGGATGTACTTTTGCCGGTGTCAAGTATTATGAAATTATCCTGTTTAATAATTTTCTGAAAATCTTATTTACAATATATTAATGCGATCTCAGCGAAGTTTTTGGGAGATTTTGACGACAGCTAGAGTGAGCAGACAGTCGATGACGATATTAGGTATCTTTTCGATTGTAGGACTTTGGTGGGTTCTCATATCTGTCTTTTGGTTATTATTTAATATAAAATATGCAGTGTTCATTTACTTAACGAGTTCTAAACAACGGTACCCCACTCGATGGGGTAGATCACAATACTTTGTTCGCGACCCCCTTTAGCTGTATGGGAGGCCTCCTTAAAAACATTTAAAAATATTTTTTACTAAGTAGTTGTTTGGCTTTTGGTCTGAACTGTATACTGTGAACATTTGTAGACTGTAGCTCCAACCGTTTGGCTGTAAAACCTGTGTGACAGTCATCAGACAGACAGACGACAGAATGACAACAATAGGGCTCCGCCAAGACCCTTTGGGTACGGAACCCTAAAAACACTATCCCCTTTTTTAGGGTTCCGTACCCACAGGGTAAAAAACGGGACCCTATTACTAAGACTTTTCTGTCCGTCCGTCTGTCTGTCACCAGGCTATATCTCATGAACCGTGATAGTTAGACAGTTGAAATGTTCACAGATGATGTATTTCTGTTGCCGCTATAACAACAAATACTGAAAACTAGAATAAAATAAATATTTTACGGGGCCCCCATACAACAAACGTTATTTTTTGGCCGTTTTATAGAAATTGGTACGGAATTATTCGTGCATGAGTCCGACTCACACTTGGCCAGTTTTTTTTACCAATGGTAATTACTTACCTATTTTCAGTAGTTTCGGCAGGTAGCAGATTTATTTCTGTTGCGGTGTCCATGTCAGTATATTGAGGCTGCTCCAATGACCTACAATAAATGGTAAATGGAGTACCTATTAGTTTTAGAAGGTATTAACTTTTCGTTTGCAAACGGTAGGCAGAGCTACCGATATAGACAAAATATGAATTATCAAAAATCATAGCGATCTTCAGTAGTCTTACCTACTGATATTCTGATGCACAATGGCATTATGACCGTAATTTTAGGCATGATATTTTTATAAATTACCAATTAGACATTGAAGTAAAATAAAATCTAACCTAAGGTAACTAGTTACATTTTAGTTTGTGAACGACCAAATTATACAAATGTTTACTTACTTCTTTGCATATCTTTGGAGTGCATTTTTTTTATTCGTTATTTTTATGGCTTTGCACGACTTTTTTCGCTTCCGTTGTTTATTGCCCATTATGAATAACTAACAACAATTATATGAACTCGTCAAAAACGGATTTATTGGTGCACGGAGAAAACTGATACCAGTCCGTCGTCCATAAGCGCCAGCGCGCAACTGGTCATGGTCAGGCTTGCCGATGCCGAGCCGCTGCGCTCGCGCTTTTAGGAGGTATCTAAATTTAGTAATTAACACAATATTTATATCAAGTGAAACTCTGCGAATTTGTCTGTAAAAATTAAGTGGCTTTAGTTGAGTACAAAATTTAAGTGTAAAATGTTAGTAGTTTAGTCATAATATTGAAAAAACAATACAAAAAGGGGGTCACTTCGGGATTTTTTTCTATCGAGTGAAGTTCTTTAGATTTTGTAACTGAATGCGATTTTGACTAGAATAGATCCTTATCTAATACATATATTTTTATCAGAATTTAAAACACTAATTTCTATGCCTCAGACGGTTTAAAAGAACTCAAAAGCGCGGCCTCTGCGAAATACCTAGCCTTAAGGCGCCTAAGGCATACAATTTTTTATTCTGTGCTTATTGCTTGCTTGTAAGTACATATGCTTGCAAGCATACAATTATTTAAGGTTCACATCAGCATCAGAGCACTTGTTTTATCGTTCCCACCATAGAATACTTAAAATATACAATAGAATGGCTGTCAAACTCATTTTGTACGAGATTCCGCGTCGCCGGGAGCACACATACAAGCAATTATATTATCACTACTACAAACCCGATTCGCTGTTTTGATAGAGTAAATTTACACATTTTAGACTTTGGATTAATGTTCAAAATCATCATTAAAAAATCGTTTAAATTTTAATACATAGATATATGTAAATAGTGTGCCATTTGGTATTTCCTAAATAATTTGAATGCGAAATTTGGAAACGATTGTTACGTCAAAACAGATCTCGTGTTGACAGTTATACGTGTGAATTGACGTGTTAGTGACATGTTAGTGGCTACAAGGGCTCCGCCCACTCCCCCGTTCTATTATGTATGTATTGTAGTTTTCTATGGTTCCCACAAAAACTTCACATATACACAGACATTAAAAATGGGTACAAAGGCAAATTGCCAATCTTAGATCCGATTATTATGGCAATAGATATACGGAACATTCAAAAAATGTAATTTGAAGCATCAATACTTTGATGCGGGACGAGTAAAATGAAAGAATCATTAAAAGCTGAAACATGTCTAATACTAAGCATTACAAAGCGCAGTCATTTAAAAAGAAGTTAAATAAAAAGTAATAATCTATAGTTATTTAGTTTGTTTCAATTTAAAAATAAATCCTTTTAATTTTATTCAAATGTACGAAACATCGCGTCCTCGCCTCCTCTCCTCGTCCTAGCGTCCTCTAGTATATGTTTCATTGATCTATAATGCCGCCGCCGTCTTTGAAAAAGTGGAAGAAACTTCCTCGTTTCGTCACCTAATGAGTGTGTCTGCAAACACAGGTGCAGGAGCACTTTCTACCCCCTCACTGTCACAGACATCGGTTTGGCTCGCCCAGGAAATCCGGAACCTTATGATCAACAGTCGCACTTTAGAATTATGTAAGAAAGTAAATAAGAATCCATATCCTTGACAATAAGCCATTACTTGAATTTGAAAGTTTTTTTAATTCATTTATATTGTATTCTTACGGTTTTATTCGCCATATTTTACCGGCCGTATTTTAAAATGAATACAATTTATATCAAACTATTTAACATTTAACACGTTCTTTTCTTGACGTGAGTGCGGTGTACATAAACACGGTCTTCCCGCCTCAACAGAGATTTCGACTTTTGGTTATAAAAAGAAGTTTTCTTCCTCGCACAACTTCCTTGTGGAATTGACTACCACCAGAATTTTTTCGGAGATTGACTTAGGGACCTTAAAAAAGAGCCTATTCCTTTTTAAAAGGCCGGCAACGCATCTGCAATCCCCCTGGTGTTGCAGTTGCTCATGGGCGGCGGTAATCACTTACCATCAGATGAGCCGTATGCTTTTTTGACCCCTCTCCTATTAAAACAGATATACTATGATTTCAACTGATTCGTAAAACAAAACATACTTGAAGCCTCGCATGACGTGAGAGTGAAACGGACGAGAATTTATTGAATGGAAAAAATATAGTAAGCGGTAAAAGCATTTTATTCAATAACTCAAAAAATGTCATTACTTTTTAAAAATCCGTAAAGAGAGCGCTAGATAATATAAAAATCAATGATTTCACTAGTAACATTGAGTTATACAAGACTAGAGGAGCAAACCACATTGCCGCGCGTCGAACAAAGTGTAACCACTATCCAAATGCGACGACGTAGCTTTGAAATCATTAAAATTTTTAAGTAAACATATATCTGTCTCACTTACACAAGTCGCGGAAAACAATATCGTCCCTAAGATTAGATAAAGATAGACACACAAACATGCAGTGGCGGGTTGGTGTTGCATACTTTATGAAATTTTACCCAAAATGAGCAATATAAAGGAGTTTTTTTTTTAAAGTTGCAGTAAATTGTTTTTATTTTAAATTTGTATATTTTCTTATTAGATGAACAGAAGTAAGCATAAGTAATGAAATAAAATATGTTTTTATATATTATTTTTATTGTACTAATAAATCAAACAAAAAATAAAGCAAATAAAAAAAACAATTTTAGGTTTCTTAAGCGAGATCTGTGTTGAATATGCATAAGTTGTGAAATCATCACCAAGTTTTTGTCTCTTAAATTTAGTCTCATGACATTAGCTACAAAAACTTTGGTTATCAATAAATTTCGTTGATTTTCTTGTTTATAGAATTTCTAAACTACTTAACAACTTTAAAAAGTTTTTATATTTTTTTTGCAACAATACTGAGGATAGTTAATGGATTCAGGCGTGACTCTGCGGAAGTCTATTTGTAAGATAATATAAATGGTTTTAATCTGTAATACTAATCCGCTTAAATATTCATAATAGTCCATGCTCTCAAACTCCGCTATGAAGCATCAGTTTGTTATATAATTGCCTTTTGGATTCTTTTTTCGTGTGTTTGAGTGTATAATTTACTTTCGTGGTACAATCTTATTTTTAAGTACTTATAAATAATGGCATTAATCAATAAAAGGGAATGATCAACTTGTATTGCATTGCGTGCTGCATCTTTAGGGACACTGCAAATTTATTAATATAATATAAAATAATAAAATATAATTAATAGACCATTCATGAATAAACTAAAATAAGAATAATTATTTTGTATAAAGGTTGAAACATAGTTTTTATTTTTAAGCAATCAATTTTACTTGTTTATTTTAAAACAAAATTAACTTATTCCATAAATTATACAGTCTCCCATTAATGTGGAAAAATCACAAAGGCGGAAAAGTGGCAACATTGAACCTAAATTGCAATATTCGATATTTTATTTAATTTTTTAGTGTTTTAAACGTTAATATGAATATATAAATTAAAACTTACGTATGGAAAGTGATTCCGCTTGATTTATTATGTTTTTGTGACCTTGAAACGCATTCTTTCACTACGCATTTACCCATTTTTTGTTGTGAATCGTTCGGCTTAACTCGGACGGCGTCACCTTGAACACTGAACCGACGTTCGCTGAGTATAAGGCTGTGGCCTTATGTGAAGTGACAACGCTTTGGCGCGGAAATTACTTATCTAGTGTAACATATAAATCAATGACTAGTAATATATAAGTCAATAATAAAAATGATGTCATTTATTATATTTTTTGCTTACTTATATAAACCATGACCAGAAAAATATCGGTCTTCGATGAAAATAAGAGGTAACTTGTGGAATGAACTTTCATTGATATTTGACAGTTAAACGCGCATCATCTCCACCGGCTATCGGTATTTAAAAAAACGATATAGTCAAGATAATCAAGAATCATTACCTCGTGCTTTAAATTGTAATTTCGCTTCCACAATAGCCAATAAATATAATTTAGTATGTAGTATGTATATAGATTGCATTTAATTAACTAAATTATTCAACATTATTTCCCTACTCCTGTCATCATTTTTTTATAGAAGAGGGGGCGTTAAGTGACTACCGCCGCCCATGATCAACCGCAACACCAGGGGAATTGCGGGTGCGTTGCCGGCCCTTTAGAAAGGAGTAAGCTCTTTTCTTGAAGGTCCCCAGGTCGTATCGGTCCGGAAAAACCGCTGGTGGTAAACTATTCCACAGAGAGGTCTTACGCGGAAGAAAACTCCTAGTGAAACGTACAGTGGTGGACCGCCAAGCATCCAGATGGTGTTGATGGTATCGGGTTTGTTTGGTTTTACTTCGTCGACGCTTCGAGCCCCTCTGCGCTGGATGCGGTCATGTGAGGGAGCTGGCATTGGAAAGACCCAGCCCAGAGATGGGAACAGTATTCCATGTGCGGCCGAACCAGCGCCTTGTAAAGTTGCAGGCGGTGTGCCGGCATGAAATACTGTCCCGCTCTGCTGAGCACGCCAAGCTTTTTAGAGGCCAATTTCGCCTTCTCTTCCAAGTGACCACGAAACTGCACGAGTGCGCATTCCGATACTGGCTGAGGCAACAAGAGGAGTGCTTTGAAACTGAGGAGATACGACAAATGGGTTCTTTTTAGCGGTTAACGCGCAAACTTGTGTCTTCCGAGGGTTAAACGGGACTAGATTTAGTCGCCCCCAATACGAGACATTTTTCAGCAAAGACTCGACTTCAGACACAAGTTTGTCCCGGTACTCGGAGATGTTTTCCCGAGAAATATTGGCGCAGCCGGTGTACAGAGCATCACAAGTGCTGTCATCTGCATAGCAATGAATTAATGAAAAATCTTCGTGCAATCCTGTCCACTCGTTGGTTGTCTGGAAGAAACCGCCCATCCCGAATTCGAAATTTTTTGTTTCGTGTCTTTTCTTTAATTACGAAAGAAAAAAAAAAGAAAATACACCTAAAAACTATATGCTATAACTCAAAAATCCGATATTTTTTCGATTTTAACTTTATTAAATTTGTTAAATACCATGTAGGTGCTTTAATTTATTTTAGAAGAAAACAATCATAATTGCCAATATTTTATTTCTTTTGGGCACCAAAATCGGTACGATCAATTAATTGCACATGTTTATATAATTGTATTTTTATCGGAATATATATATATATATATATATATATATATATATATATATATATATTTGTCAATATTTAGGATCGACTAAATATATCGTTTATCTTTTCTACTGTAGCAAAAGCAAACGGAGAAGCGCGGTACAGCCCACTGGCACACCCTTGGCGTGTGCGTACACGCGAAATAGATAGTGTGCATTAACATGAAATAATAAGGCCTTGCCACTGTTGATGCTTCGTGCAGTTGTACCACAGATTACCCCAATCTGTTAGTTGTACATACTGTTTCTCGCACTTTTTCGGAACAGCAGCGCAACATGGTGGCAAGCGTGCATAGTGACTTTGTACGTATGTTGTAGCGATCATGTATGAACATTAATTTATTACATCCTATCAAAAGTCTCTTGCTGAACAGAGCCCTCCCCCTATAGACAACCTTATAGAGGCATTTTAGAGGAGCACCAATTCGCCAGCGGTCAAGTTCTCTCCTAACCAAACCCCAAATTTAAAAAAAAAATATTTTCATATACATACGTAAATAAACTCGATTCAATAGAACCTGCGTCATTTCAGATATATTATTTTTATTTTTCTACTTTATCAGCCAGTGAATGTCATCTGCGCGACTTGATAATCTTCCGTTGTAGGGAGAATTTGTCATAATAACCACGCTTGGCAGGCGGATGGGCTATAGCATTAATTATACGTTCTCTTCACACAGCAGAAATGAGAGGATACCCGGAAAGCCATGACCGACTTCTAGGCAAGATAAGAGCCGCAGCAACACGAACAATTAAAAGCTCTAATTTTTCAGGTGCAAGCTCCCTTCATTTGGCGATAGCATACAGTAACAATGAACTCGTCCAAGATTTAGTTGAAGCTGGAGCCGATGTCAGTCAGAGAGCTATTGGTAAGCTTTACACACATAATAAGTAGTAGGTTCTAATATTTTTGGATAATAAACCAACTTCCTCGTAACCAACTTTTACCACCCTATATTGAAATTAATGCTATACGTGGTAAACTGGTAGAGCCACGTTGCAGCTATATTATGGTTGTAGCTCGAATAGGTCGGCTCGACCGGGGAAGGATCATGCTCTCACAGAATACCAGCGTAAAATAGCTGCTTAATGCTGCTGTGTTTCGTATAGTGAATGTAGAGAACCGGAGACCCTCATTACTGGAAACGAGGCATTCCATCTTAGTCCTCAGGGGTGAAAGTTAAATGGGATGCAATTGTCTAAATTATAGATAGTGGACGCTGTGGCCCAACGACATCTACATTTATCTTCGATTAAGAATCCAAACGCAGATGCGTTGTCCCCCTGAGGACTAAGATGGAATGCTTCGTTTCCAGCAAAAAAGGGTCTCCGGGTCTCTACACTCACCATACAAAACACAGAAGCTTCAAGCTGTTATTTTACGTTGGTATTCTGTAAGAGTGTGGTCCTTCCTCGGTCAAGCCGACCCATTCGTGCTTCCACAATAATATAGCCGCAACGTAGCTCTACCATAGATCCCGCACGGAACAAGTATTTGTATGGCCTACAAATAATACATATAATACATACCATCTTAGTCCTCAGACTAAGATGGAACCCCTCGATTCCAGTAAAAAGAGTCTCCGGTTCTCTACGATTCGAACGGAATGAACGAAATGATTGATAATACTGGCGAGTTTTCGGACCGTACTAATTAGGGTTTCACGGGTTTCAAAACATTGTAATAGTATATTTTTATATTTTTTAATTTGTTTCTGCTGCTCTCAATCTTTTTTCTAAAAAATCTACCATATTTTCTAATGTTTCTATAATCTGTCGATTTTTTTACACACCGTTTTTGAATTATCAATCTCAAACACCGCCTCATCATATTTGTCAGACAAAAATTACACGGTGTTTTGGATTTCTTTGTTATGGGCACGAATTTGTGAGTTTTGAATACAAAATTTTGTGTTTTGAGTGCGAATATCTACGAGTATCCATTTTATTGTTTTGCTGAGTTTGGTTTGATAGGAGCTCCTCAAATATGGTTTTCATATGTATCATAATTTTTTCTATACGTCTAATTCATCCAACTCATGTTTAAATTTTCATTATTAGAGCACGATCTTAACCCTCAAGTACTGAGGTCAAAATTAATCTTACTTTCACTGAGGTTGGTCCCAGAGTCATTATGTTATTTAAACATAAAATAAATAAACCAAACACTTTTTTATCATTCTTTTTTATTATTATCTTGTTAAATCAGTCTTAAATATTTATTTCAAAGTAAATAATCAGTTCTTTTTGGAAAACAGAAGACTTTGTGTAAGAAATTATTAGCTAAAAAAACATTCAAAGAAACTTTTACAAGTGTTCCCCTGATCATAGTGAGGTTGGTCCGTGAGACCACGCCAAATTTTTTAAATTGTGGTACTACTTACCGTTAGACGTCCTTCACTTTCGCAGTGTACGCGTCACTGATGCTGCGGTTACACCGAGCAACGTCAATGCCCATAAACGCAACGATTATTGCCTTAAATTTAACGCGATAAAATGAGTGGCTACACTTGAACGGTCAAGGTCGTTTCCCGTTGAACGGCATTAAATTTACCGTTGAACGGCGTTAAATTTGTCGTTGAACGGCGTAAAATGTTTCGACCGTGGAAGGACCACGCTCTCACAGAATACCAGCGTAAAATAGTAGCTTAATGCTGCTGTGTTTCGTATGGTGAGTGTAGAGAACCGGAGACTCTTTTTACTGGAAGCGAGGCATTCCATCCTAGTCCTCACGGGTGACAATGCATCTGCATTTTGATTCGTAATCGAGGATAGATGTAGATGTCTATGGGCTACAGCATCCACATACCATCAGGTGGACTGTGTGCTCGTTTGTCACCCTAACCTATAAAATAAAAAAATAAACAAAGAAAAAGAAGATGGTGGATGCTACAAATGCACAGGAAATGTACACTGTAAATCTATTTATGTTTTATTTTGTTTTCCCGCACCCAAATTGCACTTGAAAGACGTCCAATGGTTTAAGCTAAATAATAAGACAAATGTAAATATATTTTAATGAAATAATAACTAATAAGCCAATCATAAATACTGGTCAAGTGCGAATTATGTACACGTACCCAGGATTTCGTACCATTGTACACTATGAATTTTGACCTGCAAAAATTGTTTTTTTCTCCTGCTTATTTTTCTTAGTTTCATACCGTAAATTAAAGTACTGTTACGAGCTTGAGGTTCGTGACAATAAAAATTGCCGATAAAATTACCTAAATTAACACTTTAATTTACTTTACACAAATTAAAGTTAAAACACTAATAATTAAACACACTAATTCACTTAATTCCGCCCGAAACTTCGCTTGTTTCGCCCAAATCAACACTGCCTCGATCGCACCTTGCAGCGCCTACTTATTTAAATTAACAAATATCCAGAATGTTCAAGCAAACACGCGTAAGGTACCGAGAGTCCGAGTATAGATTTTCTAGAAACTTAGTTTCTTCGGATGGCGCTGTCGGTTGTGATGTCATTCACTGCAAAGCTCCCCTCGCTCTTGTTGCTGACACTAGATGGCGCTAGTTGACTTATTCATGCAACACTGCCCCCTCCTAAGACATGCTCGTCCCGAGCATTATCGGTCCCATAATAACGCGCCAAGCGATCCACATGGACGATCTTAGGAGTCCCTCTTGCGCCTTTCTGTATCCGGTAGGTCACATCGTTGATCCTGGTTACAATCCGGTACGGGCCGTCCCATTTAGCTTGAAGCTTAGGAGATTTCCCTTTGCTGCGGACTGGATTGTGCAACCACACTAATGAACCTTCGTTGAACCCTTTATTGTTCATTTTGCGGTCGTACCGGGTTTTCATTTTCTCAGACATTTGCTGGCCCGATTGTCTGACGTGCTCATAAATGTCATTCATTTTGTTCCGCAAGTCATTTGCATAATCGGTTATACTGCGTGGGGCATCAGGTGGTATCCCGGTGATCAGGTCCGCAGGCAGCCGTAATTCTCTTCCAAAGTTTGCGAAAGCTGGTGTCACTGCTGTACTTTCGTGAACAGAACTTCGATATGACAACAAAAACGGTTGTATGTGCTTGTCCCAATCTCGTTGCCGATTGTCTACAACTTTTGCTAGGTACCTCTCCAATGTCTGATTAAATCGTTCCACCATTCCATCAGATTGCGGGTGATAAGAAGTCGTTCTTGTTTTATGAGTACCCATAACTCGGCAAGTTTCCTGGAATATTTGAGACTCAAAATTCCTTCCTTGATCGCTGTGAATCTCTAAAGGTACTCCAAAACGACAGAAGACTTCATGAACTAGTTTATCTGCAACTGTTGAAGCTTCTTGATTTGGAATGGCGAAGACTTCTGGCCACTTAGTGAAGTAATCCATCACAACCATGAAATACTTGTTACCGCTTTCACTCTCCGGAAACGGCCCCGCCACGTCAATGGCTATTCTCTCCCATGGTGCGCCCACATTGTACAACTTCAATGCACCTCTACTACGAGTCTGAGGTCCCTTTACAGCCGCACAATTTGTACATTTGCGACACCAGTCCTCGACATCGTTTCGACAGTGGACCCAGTAAAACCGTTCTCGGATCTTCAGTAGAGTTCGCTTAACTCCCAGATGGCCTCCTGAATAATCATTATGGTACAGCTGTAGAACATCCGGTACTTTAGCTTTAGGGACAACCATTTGTAAATGACAGCTGTCTCCCCGAACATTTTCCCATTTACGGCACAGAACTCCATCCTGAAGCAGCAAGCTGTCCCACTGGGCCCAGTAGCTTTTAGTGGTCGAACTCATCGCTGAGACGTCGCTCCACTTGGGCTTGGGAGCACTGACCTTCATCCATTCCAGGATCGGCTTGATGTCCGGATCTTCCTGCTGTGCACGTTGTAAGCTGTCCTTCCACTCGTTGCTGAGGTGGTCTGCCCTGAGCATCCTCACGGATACCACTTCCTTACTCTCTTGCCTAGTACAATGTATGCAATCTTCAGGACAAGGTCTTCTTGACAATGCATCTGCGTTGCCATGAGATTTCCCGTTACGATGTTCGATCTCAAAGTCGTATTCCTGCAGTAGTTCAATCCACCTCGCAACTTGTCCTTCTGGATTTTTAAACTGCAATAGCCATTTTAGTGCAGCATGGTCAGTTCGTAAGTGAAATTTTCGCCCCAGAAGATATTTGCTAAAATGCTGCAACGACTTTACCACAGCTAGCAATTTGCGTCTTGTGACACAGTAGTTCCTTTCCGGTTTTGACAACGACTTGCTGAAGTACGCTATCACGACCTCTTGGTCACCATTACGTTGAGACAACACACCGCCAAGTCCTATATCACTTGCGTCTGTGTCAACTATAAATTCTTTGCTTGCATCAGGGTATCCCAAAATAGGTGTTTTGCACAGACGGTCCTTGAGCTCCTGGAATGCGATATTGCAACTTTCATCCCAGCAGAAATGTCGCTTCTCCTCGGTTAGCTTGTGCAGAGGTTTAGCTATATCTGCAAAGTTCTTCACAAATCGCCGATAATAGGAGCACAAACCCAAAAATGCTCTAACCTGCGTCTTGTCTTTTGGAACCGGCCAATCCTTGACAGCGGCGATTTTCTCTGGATCTGTGCGGATACCTTCTTCCGATACTACAAACCCCAAAAAGTTAACTTGCCGTTGGAATAGTGAACATTTCTTCGGGCTCAACTTGAGGTTGGCACTCTGAATCTTCATGAGCACGCGTTCCAGGTTTTGAAGGTGTTCCTCAAACGTACGGCCCACGATGATGATGTCATCCAAGTAGACCAGACAGGCATCGCCAATTAGCCCGGTAAGTACAAGTTCCATCAGCCTTTCAAACGTTGCTGGAGCATTGCACAACCCAAACGGCATTACTTT